TTTTGCAGGACATACTGGATTGTGAACAAATCATATAGGCTGCATTCAGCATCATACTGGATAATTAGTGTTATTGACTAGCTAGTCAATTCTGTCCAACCACAACTTTCTCAGTCTTGCACTTTCTTTATACCTGCTCACTTTTCCTTCAACTGATTGATTACAAGTGGCCATCAATTTATAGCCACAATTGGGACCAGAATTTTAATTGCTAAGCAAGGTAGCTGTTAAGTGACTTGCACCCAATTTTTCCACTTTTTTGCCACAACTGTTAATCAAATCACTGCAGTTATTAAGTGAATCATGAGGTCATTAAACAAATCTGACTTCCCCCATTGACTTTTCTTGTCAGAAGCCAGCTGGGAAGGTTGCAAATAGCAATCACATGACCACTAGATGCTGCAACTATCATAAATACACGCCAGTTGCCAAGCACTCAAATTTTAATGTGATTTTGGGGATGTTGTGATAGTCATAAATACAAGGATTAATTGTAAGTCATTTTTTTCAGTGCCATTGTAATTTCAAACTGTCACTAGATCAATCATTGTAAGTTGTATGTGCTGTCAAGTTAATATCAATTTTTAGTGACTACAGTACATATATCTTCTCCAGGATGATCTTCCCCCAATCTGGCATTTCAGGTCTCTCAATAGTGCATCTACCACAACTATAATCAAGTCCATCCACCTTGCTGTTGGTCATCCTCTTCTTCTTCTTTAGTCTTCTACCTTTCCCAGTGTTATGGATTTCTCAAGAGAACACAGTCTTTGCATACTGTATTCAAAATACAATAGTTTAAGTCTGGTCATTTATACTTAGAGTGAGAGCTTTGAATTGATATGTTTTATTTTTATTTGTTTGTTTTGTTTTCTTGGCTTTCCATGGCACTCTTAGGAGTCTTCTTCAACACCAAAGTTCAAAAACATCAATACTCTTTTTCTCTCTCTGTTCTTGCATTATTTTGATCAGAATGGTACAAAATATAAACCAATCATCCTATAACCTTTGCATTAATTCTTGTTAATCTTTATCATATCCCACAGAGCTAGCCAAGATCAAGAAAGAAAGAAATATGCAGATTTCAGTAAATATCTTTAAAGTCAATTTTGGGGTAAACACAGAATAGTGAGACTATAATAAGAATTTCCACCTCTCATTTAGAGAAACGTTATTAATGCAGAGTCTCTGAATTATTTAAAATGTTTCTTCCCAGCTTCCTCACCACCTGGCTGACAGTTGCTATATGTAAAAGAAGTTGTCAACAGACTTACCTTCTATCTCTTGACTGCTTACATTCCGCTCTTCTATTACCTCCCCACAATCTCTCACATCTTTGTTTAGGAAAAAAATAATAAAGTGATTACATACACATTACCAAGTCACATAGCCATTTGATAAACAAACTACAACTGTACATTAACATGTCTACAATTAACACCATCTACACCTACAGTCTTACTGTTTTTTAACATTTTCCCATTTATAGCATTGATTTAAGTTCTACTCTTCAGCCCTATAAATCTTTCAAATACTTCTTGGTTCATTTTTATCCCAATAATTTAATCATATTTATTATTAATTATATTCACTTTGATAGAAGCTTCTTATTTAGCCTTCTTCATCCCCCTTCCATAAAATCTTTTTTTAAAAAAATTCCATCAAAATTGTCTGCATTTTCTAATCTGAATTCTTGCTGAATTTAACTAATTTTTTGCAGCTGTTCTTTTTCTCTCTCTATGGGATATGTATGTTCCTGTCATTTTCATTTCTTTTAGCAATCATTTTCATATATGCATTTCCCCCCCCATAACTTCTTTCAGATTGCTCTTCCAAGTATTGTACTGTATTGTTTTTTATGCTTCCTGTTACCAAAACTCCACATATTTCTGTCATTGAGTAGAAAAAAAAGTAATTTCCAAGCAATTTCCACATCCTCTTTATGTCCTTTTGCACTCCCACTGTTTTGAGAAATATATCTGCTAATAAAGTTTTTATATAGATAAAATTTCTTTCTCTTAATGCAATTACTTTTGTTTCTTTTCATTCTTTCTTCTATATTCCTTTCTCCCAAGATTCTTTCCTGAAGCTACCAAAAAGTGGTTTTATCATGTTCAGAGTATTCATCACCTCTGTAGCCTTCACTACTTCACAAGTCTTCCATCATCAGACAATAAACACTATTTTTAGATTTCTATTCATTCCTTTGCCATGTATACATAAAAAAGAGCTATGTATTCAAAACAATCCTTTCTTCTAAGCAATCTCTTACCAGTCACCACTCTCCTTCATTGTTGATTCTCCAAACTGAATTCTTCAATTTCTCCTAGTTTTTTAAGGAAACTCATCTTGTTTCTATGCATTCATTTTTATCACCTAGCAGAATATTTCTCCCCATTGAATCATATCATTCAAAACATTACAATTTTTCTCCAAAACTCTTATTTGGTTCTTCCCTTATACTATTCAGTAGAGTGCAACTGCAGCTATCACAAATCTTTCATATGTATCCATAGCTTACATTATAACAATTCAAAACTTTCTGATGTACATTTGTAATTTATAATTAAGTCTTTACTCCTCTGCATGCATTAGTTCCACTCAAACAAGCATCTTCCCTTTCTTTTGGTTTCACAGATACACAAGATACATTATTTAATTCATGTTTTGTATCATTTACTTTTCTTACATTGAATTCGCCATCCCCTCATATGCCATAGCTGTCCCTAGATAGACCCAAAGATATTCTACTGAGTCTGCCACTCATGGTGGTTTTGGTCAATTGAGGCTTTCACACACTACTTAAGAGAGAAAAAGTGAGGTTTCCAACCTTGGTAGTTCCTGCATCACATGCATCATTTTCTTAAAGGATAAAGACAGTACCAATAGGTTTTGCAAGCATGGCACTATAAGAGAGCAGGCTGCCCAGAAAATTGCCTGCATCTGTGCTGCTTTCTTCCTTTCTCTTTAAGTCCTCTCCCTATTGTCCACACAACAAAGTTGACCATAAAGGCTTTTCTATGTGGTGGGAGAAAGAAGAGGGAAGGTGTGTGTGAATGAACTCACAAGTAGTAGCAATAATAGTAGCAGCAGCAGGGAGGAGTGAAGAAGAGTAATGTTGAGTAATAATATTATATACCGTATACAGTATGTATGTTATCTAGGGACCTGAGTTGTTGATAGCTGTTTTATGTCTTGAGCCCACCAAATTGGGTAGTTTAAAAAAAACACCACACACACAATTTATTTATTTATTTATTTATTATTTGAATTTATATCCCGCCCTTCTCCTTGCGGACTCAGGGCGGCTGACAATCAATTAAAAACACCACTAGCAATCACAAGTTAAAATTAATTAAAATGAAATATTTAAATTGTCTAATTAAAAAGTAATTAAAAACCCCTCTAAAAAACCCCTCTTAAAAATTATCCTAGGCCAGTCCCGCTTGTTGGAACAGCCATGTCTTGAGGGTGGTAGCAATGGTATATCTATAAAAAGGTGGAATGGTATATCTATAAAAAGGTGGAATACCCAAAACAAGATATGATACCTGTATAGATGGAATTGGCTCAAACTCAAGTACTTGAATATGTGTGTGTTTTATCTTAGGGACACTTATATTGTTGTTAGCCTCTCTGTGTCTTAAGCTCATTAAATTAGGTATAGTTTAAAAGAACCTACGACAGGCATAAGCCATTTTTTACCCCAAACATGCTCAAATTATTCAATGCAAACCATGAAGGCTTTTAAAGCCAAAATACTGTTCACAACATCACTTCATCCAAGCAGAATGTATAGTTATGCAGCGTACTAACACTAGAACACCAGGTTACCAAAGATGTTTTTTAATTATTAATTTAAGAATGAAAATATGCTAAAAAGAAGACACAGTCCCAGAAATTTTAAAAAATAATTTTATTCATGTATTTAAAATACTTATTACAATACAATACAGAATATTAGGAAAAGGTGATCCTTATCTCTATTGATAAGAAGGACCTGCCTGCAAGAGTACACCAGCCTGAGGCCCTTGAAATATGTCCACAGTAGTCTCATGCTGAACAACTTTGGTGGGCTGTTTCCATTACCAGCAGCAGGCATTAAATCAAGGTGTTTCATATATGACTACTTCTGCAGGTTTTATCTTTGTGTGTGCAATACACAATGCACCAGTGACCTAATCATTGATATATACAAGATTCTTTCTGGATAGGAAGCCTGAACATGAATGTTTATTTTTTAAAATATATTTTCCGTAGGTGGTCCCAATATTAAACTTTCTTCAGTGTTTGCTTTTGAGGTGCCTCTCCCCCACCCAATATAGGAACAGCTAAACTAGCCACACCATCGCTTTTGATTTCACAACCCCTCTCGGGGCAGCTCTGGATATCGTCAACTCATTTGTAACTTTTCAAGGCTCGCATGCCCTCCATCGGCATTGAAACCCTATTTTCCTTCCATCGCCTTCCTCCGTGGGCTTTTCTATAGCGAACTGGGATGTTAATTCCCAGGGACAAAGCAGAATGACTACCAAGTGCCATGCGCAGGAGTGACGCCGAATAACCACCAAGTACTGTATACTGTATACTGTATACTGTACTGTACTGTATACTGTATACTGTACCGTGTACCGTATTTGACCTTACGGTTCAACATGCCCTTTCCAGAACAGCAGGATATGATTTGCATTCTTTGAATGTAAGTTCCAGATCTCTGATCAACACACGTTTTCCTACGCACACAGCTCGCAACATCACAGAAGGCTCCGCGCCCGCTTCTGCAAGAAGAGAACGCGAGAATTGGAGCAACATCTGGAAAAAGGAGGCAGCGCCGCAGAAGCGTCACAGCCGGGCTCCTCAGTCTATGGCCGCGTCCCGCTCACAGGCTGATTTAGGACTCCTAAACCGGGAGCGGGGGGGGGGAGAGGGAAGGGGAAGACTCTGCCGTCATCTTTGTGCGACACGAGGCAGGAGCAGAGGGAGGGACGCACAATCCCCTACGCGGCCAATAGCGTTTGTTTTCATCGGCTGTCATGGCCTCCGCGGAAGGAGAGGTAGGCTTGAATCCGCCCCAGGATCCCGCTCCGCCGACGGGCTCCTTCGAAGAGCCGCTCGGGGAGGTCTTGAGAGGTTCTCTGCGTTCGCTGCCTCGGTTGATTGGGCAGGTAAATAAAGACGGGGAACGAAGCCATACCTCCACTTGGCCAAGGGACGGGTGCCCAGATAGGCGGGTCTTCCTTATCGCCACCGCTTCTGCTCTCCAAATGCCCGAGGGGGAAAACTCCGGGATAGCGGGGTTGACGCGGGCTTTACTTGGAGGGAGGAGACAGGAAAGGTTGCCCCTCCCGAGATGCTGTAGGAATAATCTGAGGCGACGGGCTGTTTGAAAGGGAGCAAAGGATGAACTAGCGGAGCTCAGACTTTGGCTTGGCTTTGAAGAGGAACCGTGCTCTAGGTAGCGAGGGCGCTCTTCCCACGTTTTCTCCTTGGGATGCATTTAGAGCCGTCACTGTAGTTGATGTGCATCGCCAGCTTATTGCAACATTCTGAATAGGCTACAAAGGAAGGAAACCCCGTCGTTTTCTTTGGGGGGAATCACTGAGACGCAGGGAGTTCCTTTTGAGACGTAACTGCTAGGCATTCAAGATTTGGAGTATTTTATAGGGTTTTCTTTCACGTTTGATTTAGTTTTGAAATGATATCTTTCTTTGATATTATGTCTGGTGCCTTGTTCTCTTTCACTGTAACAGAATTACCAATGGAGAATGGAGGCTTTCAGAATGGTAAATATAGTCTACCTTCCACAGCAGAGAGAAACAGCTATTACAGTATGTCATGCCCCCATGTATGAGGCGTTACATAACTTACACACACACACACACACGGGGTGGATTGTCTGCTTTATCTTCTTTTCATTTCTTCTATTTTTAAACAATTTCCTTGCTTGCTAATCGTGTAGCTGATATTTAATAGTCTGTCAGCCATGAATAACAAATGGTTTTGATTCAAAATGGATGCTGTCACTTTATCTAAAGAAGGGGGGGGAAGACATGTGGATTTCAAAATCTTTTACAATATATATACATACGGTTTTAAATAACTGAGCACCTATGCACATCTGTAAGTTTGAAATACTACAGCCTAGACTTGGGGGGGAAAGTCTGGTTATAAACGTGTTCTCAAAGAACATGTACTCTTGAAGTAGGTGAAATATAACAAATGCAATCCCATTCTCAAAATCATCTTTTTGCATCCTTGATGGTTTTTTGCCTATTTCAGTTAAAAATAAGAACCTACTTATTCAGATTCCATACTTCTAGTTACATTGCTAGTAAATGATGTAGTAGTATGTTATTTTGATTGTAAAAGTATACTGAAGTAAACTATACTTTAAAAAGTATACTGAAAAGTTAAAGATGATGAAGAGAGAAGCCATAAGAATATATAAGAATGCTAGCAGTATTTGTTATAATGAGAAAGAAGCAAGAGAACTGTGAGCTATAATTTCAAGACTTGCCAAAATCCATCTTGAGGGTGGAAATTAGTTGACTGCCTACTTAAAGTGACATTTTCTCCTTTAGATAAATAAGTGGATTTAGATCTGGAAAACAAAAGCTCAATAATTTATTTTGTGGCCTTGGCTATATTTCAGAGACCATTATACTTCCATGATCTGTTAATGTTATTAAAAATCTATTTTACTTTTAATGGTTGAAAGCAATTTTTACAACTGAATACCACAGTGCTCTGAGTACATACTCAACATTGAACTAAATTTGAATTTCTTCATACAGAATTGTAGCCAAAAAACTTGCATAACATTTGAAACAAATAGAAATATTTTGGGTTTTTTTCTAATTAAAAACTGTTCTCTTGCACTCTGTGTAACATGTTAATTTACAACTAAGTGAATTGGAAGACCGTGACCAAAATCATTGGCGCATGAAATGCAGAACTAATTATACTGAAATATAGGGCTGAGACCATAAGTATTTATAATATCCAACAACTTTACTTCCCATAGTAACTTTTGCTATAATTATGGTTAAATTTAAATGTATGTTTTATAAACTACACAAGAAAAAAAATATCCTCCGGACTCAGGAGTACCCAAAATATTCTTGCTTAATAGGAACTACTCATGCTGTGTCACAGTTGCTGATGACATGAATAAAGAAAAGGCATTGGTAGCAACCAGAAATAATATTATGATGATTAAGTTAAGCCAGAATGTATTATCATCTCCCAAATGCCCAATACTTATTTAAATACCAGAGAAATGGGAACTGTCCAAATCCTGTTGAGAAAGACAGACATATTTGCAAATCTATTTATTTTAACTATCATGTTTAAATTTTGTTGTATCTATCAGTCTGCCAGCAGAATAAACACTAAAAAATTTTTATTATATTTTTAAATTGCTTATTAGAGTTATAGTCTGTTGTTCCATTAGAACAGGCATGTCCTATGTGCCGCAAGCAGGCCTGGACAGCTAATAATGCTGCCCACAAGATCATAAACCTTTACAATTTTGGTTACTATAATATATTTTATGTGGCCAAGACAATTCCTCTTCACTCAATATGGCCTGGGCAAGCCAAAAGGTTGGATATGCCTACTTGAGAAATTTAATGTAACATACACAGCACTTTTTTCAATTCTTCTCTACAGTACTAGCCCTGTGAAGTAGATTGGGCTGAGGGATGTAGGTGGCCTCAAATTGCCTTTCAGTTTCCATGGTTGAATCTGGACTTCAATTTGTGTGAAAGTAACCACTATACCACAATTTCCCCAAATATGTTGGGGATCATTTGAAGCAATTTTAGATGGAATATAGACAAAAGAGATGAAAACATATTATATATTTTCAGACACTCTACTCTCTACTCACACAGAAATCAGTTTAGGTATATTGTTTTATTTCGTTTGTGTCTCATCACATTCCCATAGAATTCTCAGCCGTTTTACAAGAATGCAAACATTAAAACATCTATAATCCAGTAAAATCCAAAAGCCTAAGACACAAACCAGAAAAAACTGAGTCTCAAAACAGGAAACTGCTAGAAAATAATCTAGAATAGACAGGTTTCAAGCCCCAAACACTCTCCAGAAGAGCTCCATCCTCAACTGTTTCTCAAAAACAGCTAAAGGGATAAACTTTCAACATTACAGAGGATGGCTTTGCTGCAGAAAAGCAATGTTCCCACCCCCTGTTTATTAGTTGCTGTTTCTGGCAAATTGATGAGGTCAAGCCTAACGTCGGCACAAGTAGCTTGGTGTCATGCTATAAAGGACTTATAGGATTCCAATAAGAATAGGTGAATTATTAGAATATATCTAAACCATCTAGATATCTAAAATGTTAGTACATTAGTAATGAAAGCTGCCTGCCTAAGAGCAAAACATATATTTATGTCTCTTGAAGCTTGTGATTATAAATATAATTTCTAATCATTATGAATACCTCAATTTAACAACAAACTGAAATTTGACAGCCACAGAACTCAGTGAGCCAGGATTTCTGGAAAAGAAAAAGGATAATTTATTTTCAATAATCAAAACAAAGTTAATTGGTCTCCATTAAGATATTCCTAACACCAAACCTGGCAAAGCTGAAATGAATCCCTCTCCCCATTCACCTACTGAATTATGTTTTGAGTGAGAACTACAGAGTTTTAAAAAATACTAGGAAGATAGATAATAAAGCAAGGTTTTATCCATAAATAAATATGGGCTTGAACGATATAAAATATATTAATCTCCAATTACATGCAACAGATTGCAATAAAAATACAATGTTTACAATAATAGGTATATTATATAACCATAAAGGTTAAATAATATTCCACTTGATCTAGATATACTGCCACTTTGGTATAGTGGTTAGGGTGCTGTCCTAAAAACCAGGGGACTGTAAGTTCTGGGCCTCCCTTAGGCATGACAGTCAGCTGGGTGACTTGGTCCAGTCACATTCTTTCAGTCCAACCCACATCATAGAGTTGTTGTTGTGGGGAAAATAAGAGGTGTGAATATTAAGAGCATCAGGGGGTGTGATCAGGGGCAGAGGGTATGATCATCTGGTCTGTTCACTCCCTGCTGCTTTAAGTATGCTTGCCATCTTGAATTGACCAAAATATATAAAAGGTGGATAAAAATCTAATAATATATACAATAAAAAACATAAGGTGGAATATTTCATTCATTCAGTTGTGTACCTATTTCACAGATTGACACTCTTTTATATAACCATGGGTCCTAAGAGCAGTTCTAATCAAGAACAGAATATAGCTTATAAAACCAAAATAGTAATAATTAGTAACTAAGTCAGAAACATAGTTTGTTAGAAGGAAAAACATTTCAAATCAGTACAGCTGCAAAATGAATCCGAAAGTTCAGCTTTTCTGATTATGATTTATGGAAATTATGACTGATGGGCAGACATTCTGTTTCAGTTTCTCATTTTTTCTCTTTAATTCAATTCAGCTTTTATCAGTTAGTAATTTTTAAGGACACTTCAAAAAGTTTTTTTCCTGATAACTTGTATTTTTACACCTTCCCTTATTTATTTTGCAAGCTGTTTTCTCTAAGACAATACATTTCAAACACATTTTTTAAAAAACTGATATATTTGCACATTTTTACATTTGAAATAAACTTGTGGAGACAGCCAGAAGCTTCCAAAGCAGTCCTGCATGTCTGCCTGTTAAAAAATGAAGCAGCTTTAATAGTTTTGAAAAGAAGGGTTTTGTATATACTCAGATGGATTCTGAATATTTTATTTCAAAGAATTTGTACAGCAATAATTATTATTTTTAAAATCTGTTATTGGCTCTTCTGATTGCCTGTATGGAAAGCAAGCTGCCAGACTGGGTGAGCCATTGATCTAATCTGCATGGCAGTTCTTTGGTCACATTTTATTCAGATCTTACCTTCTAGTATAATTGCTAATGGTTTACATTGTAACTTTTTGAAGATGTTATGTGTTTGGATTTTAAAGTTTAACCTAGAAGAAGATGTGGTGAAAATTAACATAAACTGGGAGAAACTTCAAGGCATGTCACTACCCCAGCCTAAATTGATCTTTACTGCTCTTCAGCAGCATATTTCCTCTTTACAGGTAAATGTTTCTTATTAGGCACTTTTCTAAAACCCAATTGCACAATTTAAACCTTAAATCCTCTACACTACTCTTAAAACTGATATATTTGCAATAGTTGCAGCTCACTTGGTGAAATGCCAGAAATTCTTTACTTCCTAAAGGTCCTAACTGTTTTTAAGATAACAGGCTTATTGGAAGTATTGTGGAAATACTATTGCAAGCTGTTCCGGTTAAGTAGATTGGGAAAATGCATTCCTGTTGATTTCTGCACTTCCACTGTAAATGCAGTACATTTGTATCTGGGGTGGTTATAATTAAGCAATAACACGGCAGGTGTATGTCATGCTAGGATAATGATTCCATGCGTTGGGTGAGTTCTGCCGTTTGTGGAGTGCTTTCAGTGGATCAAGAAGTGGCATTATCCCAGCATGATGCATCCTGGTGCATGTGCGTCTCAGCAATTAACCTTAGTGCCAGCACAGATCTTTTTAAAGTAACTTTTTTCTGTGCCTAATGTTTCATCTTATCAAGTAAGTAGTTTCACTGTTACATCATTTTCATTTGATGCTTTTTAATCTTTATTAAAGTTAAGTTTGCTTTATTAAAGTTAAGTTGCTTTCCTGTCGAATTGGAATGTAATCTGTCAGCAGCATCTCCTGTGAAAACTCCATTGGGAAAAATTACCACATTATTGGCACCATTTCAGTCAGTTCATGTGGCACTGTAATAGTGGAAATTTTCAGCTGAATAATTTCATCACTCTAAATGTATACATTAAAAGTAAATAAGATTGACTGGAGATTGAGCAAAAGCTATTGTTTTTCTTGTGTTGTCTTTAAATATAATTTTTTACTTCTATAGAATCATCCATTTTCTTATTTTCAAAATAAATAATAACGCTTACTAAAATTTCTGTAGATAGGCATAGCATAAAATCCTGTTTTCCGAATTTCCTGACAGTGGGAGCAGGAGACATATTGAAACAGTCATTGTTGCACAGCTCTTCTTTGTATTGCTTGAAAGCACTCTTCAGGATTGTGTCATTATTCAGTCTTTTTAAAACTTTAAAAAGCATTAGCATTAAAGAATTGCTAAACTTGCATTTTTTTCCTATATTTTATGACAATGGTAAACATTTTTTAAAGGAAGCAAATATGGTGTTTAAATTTAAAAAAAGAAATGTAGTAATGTAGCATTTGTTTTTCAAATATTGGTTGCACTGGGATAGGCATGAGTCTGGAACAGGATATTTACTTTCACTTATGTGTTTTGGGTGGCTGCCCTTTCAAGTGGAGATGCTGTCAGTGATGTAATGCTAAAGCAAAACCTTTAACAGAATGAGAGTCTTGGCTCTCTCATATTAAGGAGGAAATATACTTAAGCCTTAATGTTCTGAGTAAGCATTTGAATGACATGTAAATTAAGTGATATTGGTGCCAAAAGCTGCTGCTTTGATTTGGCACAAAATAGATGAGTAACAGACAGATTTGCTGTGATAGTCTGGGCTCTCTAGAGGTTGTTTTTTTTTTAATACACAGATTAGTAAAAGGCAGTGATCAAAAGGGCAGTGACACTTTGAGATGCTGTATTTTAATTCCTATTTGATTAGATTATGTACACAATAATGAGAACATATGGTCTCTGAAATTATTTTAAGGAGTTTTAGAAATCCCAGGCTTTTTTTTTTTTTTTTTTAAACATGTTCTGTTGCTTTAAATCAATTCTTTTTCTTTCCTATTACCTAGCTTTTTATGGAAAAACTTCAGCCTTTGATTAAAGAAGAAAATACCACACCCATTTATAATTTTAGTGAGACAGAACATGGAAATTTGGGAAGTAATTCAGATGTAATAGATAAAGACATACAGAAGGAAATGGAACAGACCGCCAGTGGCTCTGCAAATGTGAAAGAAGCTCCTTTTGGTTTTGACCCAGAAGTAGTTCAGATAAAAGCTGGGAAAGCTGAAGTAAGTGAAAGCAGGACCATTTCTTCCTATCAAGTCAAAATCCTTCTTTCAATCTGAGTAGCAGTAATGAACACTAAATACAAGTTGCTTCTTACCTGCAGATTGAAAGACGAATATCGGCCTTCATTGAAAGGAAACAAGCTGAGATCAATGAAAACAATGTCAGAGAATTTTGCAATGTTATGGATTGTAATCAAGGTAGCTATGCAGCCAAACTTTCATTTTCTTATCACATCACATGATAATCTTATCACATTATCTTCCCCTCCCCCTATAAAGAGTCCTCTGAAAAGGGAGCTAGATTGCCTATTAATAGTGAGAAAAATATTGATTAAACAAAAATTAGACATTTTTATTTCTCAGATGTTTATATCATTATAACAGAATTATACCATTTATAATAAAATTCCATTGACCCCAAAGTTATTTCTTTCCAAGTCCTATAGTCAGTTTCCTAGAATACAATGCAGCTGATACGTATTTTTATATAGGATTTGGACTGCAATTTATATGGGAGTACATCCCACTGAATTTAAAAACGAACTATGGAATAAAACAAAAAAAAATACTCCGATTTATTCTCATTTCAAGAAATGTATTAATGCAGTGAATAGGAGTAAAATACTTCCAAACTGAAATTTTGTTCAAAATAGAAAAGCTAGTTAAAAATAAGAGAAACCAAATTCCGTTTAGCCTATTTCTCAATAGCATTCCAAATTACTCCAAATTACTTTTGCTTAAATGTGGAATTTGCTATTTTTTTTAAATAATTACCATTTATTTAGACCAAATTTCTAGCAAGAATGTGGTTTTCTTAATGAACTTCTTAACCAAACATTGATACAATTTTCAAACATGGATATGATGGGTTGTCATTTCATAAAGATCTGTTTTAGAATTACATTGCCTTCATGTTGTGCTAGTGAGCTCAGATCTTATTACTAATCTGTCACCTTTCTAGATTAAGAATCTTATTTACTCAGTGTTAAAAATTGGGTTCTTAAATAAAAGATAGAAATTTGATATCCACATTATGACTATTAAAATGGGTTGAATAAAATCCAGTTATCAGATTGTATACACAATTTGCTAGTTATAAATAAAACGACAAACAAATAGTGTATTATGTTAGAAACAAATCAAGACTCCTCAATGAGCATTCAAGGGAATATATATATACGTGTTCTTATAAGTAATTTTCATTTCAGAATATATATATACTTGTTTCCAAGTGAAAAATATCTCTTGAAATAATTAATTATGAAGTACTTTAGGTAATACATAACTTAACAGAAATGAGCATGTTTCTTGCTAAAGCCTTTATTTCTTTACTTAGAAAAAAATAACTTGCCTCAAAATAAAATTTTGATCCAAATTATTATGATAGTGATTTTCAGTTATGAAAACTATCAGATTTTTTATCTCCATCTATATATGCAAAATATATTTATTTCAACTGAATTGATGATTTAATAATGCATATTTTATTGTATGTTCTAATGTGTATTTGGTAATATTGCACCTTACAAATATGTATAGTTTTTTGTAAATATATAAAAAAAGTTTAAATGTATAGTTAAAATCTTTTGGTATTTTCACTTCTTGTAAAAGGGGAGGGAAAGGTTTTGACTATGTTCTTAGGTCTTAACTGAAATTAGAATACTTTTAAGATTGTTTGGGCTAAACCTTACAGACTTCAGTGTGATTTTCTTTGGGCAAAGGTACACTAGAAGGCTCTGCAAAATTATTTCAGTCCAGTATATAAATGAAAAGTAGTAAAAAAAAGTTTTTCAGATTAGAAATCCTAGTAAAAACATAACTGTAGACATGCCAGAATTATTCTTAATTGTTATATTCTGTATCTGACAGACAAAGAATGTAGTTTATGTAAGGTAAGTTATGGTTTGATCAGACAACGTATCAAGGCATAATGATTTATATAATTATAATTTTAGCAAATTTAGTGAATTGGGCCTTGGTGTCTTATAAATGTAGCTTAGCATGCCCTCTAAATTCAATCAATATTTCTACTTTGTTGAACATTTGGAATGAATTCTGAGCTCCCTAAGTGGTTGAAATAATGGGGTTCTTTTTTGTTCAAAACATCTTTAGAAAACAGCTGTGCTAGAACTGATGCAGTGTTTACGCCTTATCCAGGTTTCAAAAGTCATGTGAAGGGTAAGTATTATTATATCTTTCTTTGACCACTTCTCGAAGAGCTAATTAATAAAGGCAAGAGAAGTCTCTTCAGGTTCATTAAATATATTTTTGAACTAATTTCACTGTATTCTGCAAATGTTCATGTTCCTTTCCTTTATGTATTTCAGAACAAAACACTGTTGCTAAGTGTTTATCTTAGATTCCGTTAATTTGATAAGCCAATAGCAAGCCATTTTTCAGCGTCAGTAGACTTATATCTTTATATTAAATATGTGTCTGCCAAAAGAAACACTGGAAAAGTTCATGGAGGGAAGTGTTGAATAATTAAAGAGATTCTAAGATAGAAAATTTTAATTAAATAATTTAGTGGCTTGTTGCTTTAAATAAAGGACATGAAAAGTTTAGGTAGCAACATTTTTATTATTATTCTACCATGAAAAAAATTGTCTAGACAGTGTCAAGTAAAACTGCCCTTTAATTTTGTGAGCTATCTGCAGTAGTATTTGCTATTCATGTCCCGAAGATGCTTTTTCAAAAGGCAACTGGACTTTCTTTGTTTTTCCTTAAAGACATTTCTCTTCTCATCCAAGAAGCTTCTTCAGTTCTGAAGCTTCTTGGATGAGAAATTAAATATCTTCAAGGGAAAAAAAATCCAATTGCCTTTTGAAAAAGCACCTTTGGGACAACCATGACTTGGATGCTGAGAGTCTCCATAGACATTTGGTATGCATGTTAGAGATGGTATTCTTAGAGATGAGAAACAGTTGAGTAACAGTTATTAAATTGAAGACTGAAGTTTCTTTGAGAGTTGACATGTAAGGTAGGATTCACATTGTGCTAAGCCATGGTGTATACATACATACATACATACATACATACATACATACATACATACATACATACAGTTGGTGAATTTAGCCACTGTCATGTATAAATGATAGCTCATCATTTAGCATGTTGAATATTGCTATTCAACTTGCTAAATGAGGGCTTATTTTGTAAACTATGATAAAACAAAACTTTCATTAGCCTTAGTCCTAAATAGTTATGAATTTATCATACTGGGAATATATTTCTACATACTGGCTATAATTGGCATATAGAAAAATGTATAGTATAACTGATACTTTGACAAACTCATTTTGTTTTTGAAATATAGCAATATTTCTGAGCATGAATTATAGAAGAAGCGGGAATGTTTAATTAAAAAAAAAGAAAATAGGCAGTCTGGATAAAATATCTCTCCCTGGCCATTGTAAAAGAATAGTCACATATACCTTAAGCAGGAGATAGCTTTGTCTAAGGTTGATAGCTTCTGTCAGAATATAATGTTGGGAATAAGTTCCATTTAATCTAATGGATCTTTCAACTAAAAGGCTATGAACAGATGGACTTGCTTGGTTCTGTTATTTGGAAAAAATAATAATCTTGTACTTTTAAAAATCCTAGTTTCTCGAGTTATAAATACTTATGGACCTCAGACTAGAAATAAAGATGCCCAGGTTTCCAACCATAATGCTAACACTCATTCTCATGATTGTGGAAATCAAGCAATAGAAGAGAGACTACAGAACATTGAAGCTCATTTAAGGTTACAAACAGGTTAGTAGAATGAGTTTATAGCTGAATTTTAAACTGTAATTTTTTTTCAGCAACAGCCAGCAAACATGTACTTTCATGTTGTATCTCTTACTTTTGTACCATAGAATTTTTTACTGAGACAAGGATTGAAATGGATTAGAGTTGTAAAATCTGGATCGACGTAAATGTATTGATGTATACTATCGTATGATACATTTCTTCTCTATTTTGATTCACTTTTTTTCCACCATGAGTTTCAGGAATTATTTAGAGTTTTCATAGTAAGCATGCCATCCAGTTCATCACACTGCCTTCTGGTCTGGTGGTGGTAAATAGGTTAATAGCTGTTTAACTAAGTGACTTTTAAATTATTGAATATAGTAACTATTATCTTGTTTTTTCTCCCCTGTTTTAATCTTGAGAAAATTGACTTTTTTCCAAGTAGTTATTTGGAGTAATTATTCATTGTATGGAATAAGATTTGTAAGCCCTTGGCTTTTTCCCCCTTTTTTGACCTCCCATTATATTCTTCACCACTTTGCCAAGGGATAGCCTGGCCTTGTTATAGTGCATGCAACTCTTTTTTTTTTTTTTGGCTGAATGGATAACATTGCTATTGAGCTGTTTTCAATTAATGAAATATGAAAAATTTTATTAATAAACTCACTATAGAAATCTACACTGGATCTTGGAGATAATCTATAAAATTTAATCAATGCATTTTGGCAAATTATGACTATCAATATAGCATTTGTACAAAATATTAAGATACTGTAGGTATGCAAATACAGTATAGCAATAAGCAATAAACTTGTCACAAAGAAGATCATAATCAAAATAAAGGTTAATAAAGGTTGGAAGGTTCTGAATTTTTAAAAGTGTCCTAGTCATGATGTATTTTTTTTATGCTTTTCCTTTTTTAATGCTTCACTGTAGGTGGACCAGTGCCTAAAGATATTTATCAGAGGATAAAAAAGCTTGAAGATAAAATTCTTGAACTGGAAGGGATGTCTCCTGAATATTTTCAGTCTGTGGTAAGTAATGTTAAGTCTAGGTATCCTGTTCTAAATGTCTTGAATGGGGATGTGGATACCTGGATCCACGATTTTCAAAACAGCCTTGTTGAGTTCTTCTGAAGTGATAGCTCATGGTGATTTCCATCAAGGTCAATTGGGCTATTAGCAGACACAGGAATTCTGCATACACACTGGAAAATTCATGGGATGTTGTTTCAATAAAATTGATTAGCTTTTTAAAAGTGTTCAGAGTGTTTTCCTCTGAAATAGTTGTGAAGATTTTCTCTTAAGAGCTGATCTATCAAATGGCTACATATGTACCACACATGTAATAGAGTTCCTGAGTCCTCTTTCTAGTTAAAAACCAACCCTCCAGGTCAGTTAAAGGAAGTTAACAGTTAAAAAAATTAACATATTAAGCAGAAAACTTTTTCTTTAATTTGCTTGTTTTTTTTAAGAGAAGTTGGTAGAGAGAAAGGGAGAGAAGACTAAGCAACATGCCTTGAAACCTTTCCGAAAAATTAAAATAACAATGATAATTTGCATAGCAGAAGCATTTTGCTCCTTATCTGATGGGAGATGAATATGCACCCTAGAAAATTTAAGGAGGTTACATGAGCAAAAAAGTTAACTGTCAGTAATTCTCATTCATAAAAATGTGAGTCTTTCCAGATGAAAAGGATAATTACTGTTTATTAAAACTATAGTACCATTGGTAATGACATATTACATATTTGATTTTTTTAACAGAATTTGTCTACAAAAAAAAGAAAAATTCAACAAAATCAAGTGAGTCTAGTTGTTACATTTATATGTACTTACAGTTACAAATTTAGAGATGCTTTCCTAATCCATAAAATGGAGGCTGTATCTTTAACTTATTCAGAATGTTCTTTCTGTCTATCGCCAAAGGATTATATGCATATTCTAGTTCAGACATGTCAAACACAAGGAAGTGGTTTCATGTGGCCCGCGAAGCCATCCTGGAAACAGTGAGGGAACGGCCCCCTCTGCCTTGGCCCTGGCCCAGGCCAGCCAGGAGCCAATGTACAATTTTGTGGTGGCCCTCTATGCTGAAACGCATTCAGTCTTAGCTCCATAAGCCCCCCCCCACATGACCTGAGAGGAACAGTGAGGCTCCTCCAGTGGACCATGCCTTGGCACTTGCCCCAGTCCCACCCCCTTCTGCCAGAGACCCTCAGATCTATCCCATTCCTCCCCAGGCCTGAGAGGACCCTTGACGCAAACGATGTAAAGCTGGCCACACCCACCCAGTAGGCCACACCCACTTCATCCACGCCCACCCAGTAGGCCGCACCCACCCTGGCCACACCCACCCGGCCCCCTGAGGGCAACCGCAATGCTGATGCGGCCCTCAATGAAATTGAGTTTGACACCTGTCTTCCTGCAGTATTAATGTCAGAGTAAAATTTGCTTGACAGGCTTAGCAATTCTAATCTTTGCACAGCAATGTGGCCAGAGTTAAAAACTTTCTTGTCAGGGATTTTAAATTTGGTTCTCAGATTGCTGGTTTAATTGAACAGCAGGTGTGCCACAATTTTCCAGGTGCCATTAGTGCTGATATGGACAGTTCTTGTGCTAGCTATCCAACTCACATAAATAGCAACATTTTTGCCTGTTTGTGTGAAAAATGTACCAGAAGGATTCAGTACTTCAGATTCAATGAAGGTAAAAAGGTGCTTTACATCATGCAGCATTACAAGAAAGGTGAATCTGCTTTAAAGAGCTACAGATGGGATTATGTGGCTGTTCCCATATACCCTGAAGAACTTTTTCCATATTATTTCTGAAGCATTGCACTGATAATTAGCAGTTTCATGGATTCCACACACATATCTGAATCTGACTAAAGCAGTTTTTATTGAAATAATGTTCTTCAAACTACTCTTTTTCTAAGATTGGCTTTCAGTTTATAAGGTCAGCATTTTGTTTAACAGTTCATTAATAATTTGAAAAATTTTAATTGACAAAGTCTTTTTTCTCTCTCTGTTTTAATACTAGACATTTTAAATTGTCATGGAGATTTTTCCTCTATAGCCATTAGTATTTAAGTCAGGAATTAACTTTGTATTTATTAGAGCTATGCAATATTTCAGAAATAATTTGGAAAATGATTGAAACATAAGGAAGCATGAATGTAGTAATCTGTCTGTACTTTTTAAAGCTGTTTCCCCTGTCTCAGGATTATGTAGCTGCTTTCTTTAACTGCCATGTAATACTGACAAAAATGTGGTTGCTTTAAAAAGTCTCAGGCAGGTGCTAAGTTTCTATTGAGATGCATTTTTTTGGAATTGAATTCAAAGTTTTGACAGGTTTGGCACCCATGTGACTCTCACACATATAATGGTAGTTTCAGTGCTATTGTTACTTTGAATTGCAGCTCACTTTTTAAAATTAATGTTAGTTGAAGACCACTATATAAAATCAAGATTCATATCATGTTTGAAAGGTAAGTTTAAATTACTGCTGCCACCAAAATAATCTTAGATTCCGGACCATGATATTCTTTAAATTAAAGAAGCTTTGAAACTGGTGTGAAAGATTATAAACATGTTGTTCATCCTTTCTCCAGAGTATTAACTCCATGCTTGCTCTCAAATTATTTCTTAATTTAAATGTTTTTGCTACAAATTCATGATACTACCGTATGCTCTCGTCTTTTTCTGAATGGCAGAACTATACTCTGGCTGAACTTGATGAGAAGATCAATGCACTCAAACAAACATTGCTAAGAAAAACAAATGAAGGGAGGCCCAAAGTGGTAAATCAGTTTCTTTGATTATGGCAATGAGACTTCATTATGCTTTCATGCATATTTAACCTTTTTAGACTGAGTACTCTTTATCTAGCATTTATCGTGGAAGCTAAATATGCACATGAATTTATCTAATTCTTATTTGAAACTTGGATTAAGTAAAGTTTGTTACTTATCTAGATTGAAGAATGAAGAATGTTTTGGAAATAGCATTATAAATATCTCCTTTCCATTAATGGAAAGGTGGATCTGTGGAATTTTTAATAGAAAAAAATAAAATTTTGTTTTCATGTTTTGTGTGTTACGTTGATGGAACAAACAAATTTCTGTTGAAATATAATTCTGGCAAGGAGCATTACTGAAAATATTACTTTATGTCACAAAGCTACAAAATAAATAAATAAAAATAAAGACTTGTTGTAACTATGAAATGTTCATGGTACCCTTAAAGAGATGAGGATTCTCCTGATGGAGAGGAAGAAACCATCTATAAGAAATTTCTTCATTTGTTAATACTAATAGCCTATTCTGTAAAATTCATACATCATTTTAAGAGAAGAAGTACTCACCAAGGTAAACTCATCCCTCTCCAATCAAGTGATGCCAATAGTCATCCCAGCCAACGATTGCTCACACTGACTGTGGCTTTTTGAAATCTTAAGATTAAGTGTTCTCAGTTTGTTGTGAGTAGAGTTTCTACAGGTAAAGTATACACTTGTCTGGAATTATTATTTTTATTAGTTTATGATATATAATACAAAAGGACAAAAGAAAGTAGTAGAAAATAGGGGAAGAAAAAGGGAAGGGAAAAGTGTAGACCAAGGGAAAAAAAAGAAAGAAATTGGATAATGTTAAATCTCTGCTTTTCAAACATACTGATGCATGTTATCAGGATCAAAATATCTAAAGGAATACTGAATTCCACTTACCTGGCCAGTACACTAAAATCTGTAAAGCAGCTGCTACTTTGGGTGCCATAACCTTTGGAGGAATGGTCCATTTTTATAAGGAGCTAATTTACATGGAATGTTGTCCCCAGTGAGCTATGAAAGTTTCCATTGGCTTGCATTCTCTCTTGATTATATAATGCTACTGTTTCTTTGGAAGTTTTAATATGGTTACCTAATGCAATTCAGTTCGACTGAAATACATTGTAAAGCGCTAAACAAAAATATTGAAGAACAAAACTTAATAAAAAAAGAAACAAAATGTTATACAGATGTGAAGGTTTTAATGGAATTTAGAGAAAGCACACAGTGATAGTGACTGAACTAATCAGGTAATGTGTTTCAACTTTTAAGTGATAGAATAATTTGGATAATACATTTGGAGGAAAGAAGAAAGTAAAACTTGCAGTCTGTAAGGGGATGGGAGTGAAGGATTTCTCAACTCATCAGATATTTTTTTAAAAAAAATGTCTTTTACCTGATCTAGGTGGTCATGGGTGACTAATATATTCTGTTAGTCGCTTTTAATATTATATAGAAAATATATAGAATTGTATATTTAGATCAAAAACTCCCATATCATCGGTGCTCCACTCCTGAAGATGGTGGATACAGATGAAAATTACATTTTTCAAAACATAATTGGGTTCTCTGTAGTAGACCCACATATATACATTGTCATTAAAGTTTTTGTCTAGTAGCAAGACATCCCATAAAAAGCCATCTAAAAGGTTTAGCATTACTCTTTTTATTCTTCTGTGTAAATTCAAGTAGTTGTAACATATATTGAGCAATACTTTTTTAACACACAAAGGAATTCTTCCTAGCATGTTTTAAGATATATACCTCCTCCACACTTCATATTATTTCAAACCATAGAGCTGTAGTTTTTTTCTATGTCATAATCTCACGGGCTTGTGAATTAGATCCTGTGAATTATAACTGGAGTGTATTAGAACGTTCTTCATTTTACACACAATAGTAGCACCCTTTATTTGAATCTATACAAGTGATTCAATGCTTATAAAATCAGTATCCAAGGGAAGAGGATAATTATTCTTGCCCTCTTCAAGTGTGTGCTTTGATGCCTGAGAATGGAAGGGGTGGTTCTCATCTGTATTAACAGAATAGGAAGAACACTAGAATTTCACAGCCTGAACTACAGGACAGAACATTTTACAAAGGAGTAAAATCAGCTTTCTTCCATGTTTTTCAGTTATCTTGTGTACAACTTCAAAGAGCCATCCGTACTGGTTTGGTTATTATTATGTCTGTTTTTATAACATCCTTCATTCTAACAGAATAACTGTCAATAACTCTATATAAATCTGTCTGGCTTGCATTCTTGTTCTTTGTTTTATTTTGTAAACTGCCCACAGTAATGGTAGATCAGGATGGCTATACATTTCATCAATCAATCACCACATCATCTCATTTTGTAAAGCCATTTGAAAACCATAGCCATTTGTGCTGTTTAAAAATAGTATTTTTTAATACTGTTTGAATACTGAAGTATTTCCAATGGGTAATCTAATATACTGATTGGTCTTATGTTGTTGTCTAATTCTGGAATATCTGCCTTGCAGTCAGTTCTTCAGGGAAAGGAGTGGTTCATCTCTAGGAGACTAATTTTCTATAGCTGAGTGCAGGATTTTAATAAATAAACCCAAAAGTGAAGTGCCTATTTCAACAGCCCTCATATCAGCAGGAAATATGAGTGGCTTGGGAAATTTGAACCATTCAGTATTCTGTCTAACATTGTTAAGAACAGTAATAGATTTTTTTCCTCAATAAACATAAGTGATCTCTTTGTTTGATTTTAATTAAGGAACTCTACTACCACTGAGTAGTTTTCACTCCTAAATGCTAAGCAAATAATTTAGAATAAAAACTTAAGAGGTAAGCAGATTTTTAAATAAATAAATAAAATTATGCTTGTCAAAGAGAACACACACACACACCCAGAGCTCCCACTGGACCAACCCTACCATTAGTCATAGTGAGCCAGTTCTTAAGCAGCACATGCAGCATATAATATAAAGCTTTTTATTGGGTAGAATTAGGGTTGCCAGATGTGGGCTGCAAAACTCTAGACAACCAGTAGATGGCAGCAAGCATCTCTGCTACCATCTAGAGATCATCTTGAATTTTACAATCCAGGTGTAGTAGGCCTACAAATGGTAAGTATGACAGCCTGACCTAAACAATTCTAAGTATGTGCTTCCTTCAAGTATGGTACAAGTTGATTTCCCTTTTGTTGATTTTAATTAAAATTAATTTGTTTCTGAATAAGGGAAATTTCAAATTGTTACACACTACAATTATGGGCATAAACTTGTCAGTTTTGAGGGAGGATGCAGTCAAGTAATACATTTCTAAAAAAGATGATAATATAAAACAAAAGAAACAGTTTGTTATTGTTAATGCTGTATAGAAAGTTGGGAGGGAGAGCGGTGTGGTGGCCTAGTGGTGAAGACACCTCTCACTCAGAAGGTTGAAAGTTCAATCCTAGGTAGCAGCAAACGATTCCTAGGGTGGAAAGAAAAAATATCTGCTGTGAACTCTGCATGGTGTCAGGAAAGGCATCTGGCCAGTAAATGCTCAACTCCATCCAGTCGCCCCAATTCTACCCTGAATTAAGGAATTGCAGGGTTGAAAAAAAAGGGAGATAGGAAGTTGGGAGAGGATATAAACTGAATGACACCTACAGTGTGCTTTGTTGAATTGATACTGACAGGAGTCTGATCACATCAGTTGGGGGGGGGTTCCCATCATTTCCCTTCCAAATGTATACATATGTCAAGTGTACATGCATACAAGTATATCACATTAAGTGCATAACAGTGCATCTTAGAAGAGGACCTTTGGCAGTAGGATGAACATTAGATTAACAGTAGATGAAAAACAAACTGTTGATTTGCATAAATCTCTGGGTAGGTGCTGAGAATGGTGTCACAATGGCTTTAGCAAGAATCAAGCATTGACAAACTCACCATCAGTCAATTGCAAAAGGCAGCTTTCCTCAGAACAGCTTATATCCTGCAACAATACCTTTAACATATCCACATCTGCCTATCCCAGTTCTTGGGAAGACTTGATAGGTGGGCAAAAGGCTAAATCCAGTCTAAACATTTGGCTGACTGTGCGATGAACAACAATAATCAAATAACACAAGCGGCCAATGTGTTTTTTATTTAATTTATTACATGCACAATATCATACTCCAGAAATTCCAGATTCTATTATTATAAGTGCTACATAATAACATATACTAAATTAACAGTATTTGGGGACATGTACATGAAAATATCATAAAATGGTGACATACTAATGGAAATGAATACATACATAAACCTGAAACATAAATGATTAACTGTGATATTTTATGGAATTTCAAAATTAAAACTTGAATTAGACTTGTCCACGTCTATGTTAATACTGTGGAGTTCTTCATGCTCTCTGAGCTTGGTGGTTTATTTGCAGACAGTTCATTATCCAACTAGGTAACATTAACAATGTGTTAATGCTATTAGAAGCTATTAAGTTATAAACTTGTAACCTGATCAGGTTTACTTGTAGTGTTAGAATGAAACAGTAGTTTCAAGTGATAGATCCTGGAAAAGAAGAACCATAAGCAGCTGATATATGTCTCTGGCCTGCACTGCATCAGCCAGCCCAATTGGCTATCTTCAGACATGACAGACATCTAGGAGAATCATTCAGCTGTGGTTTTTAAGCTTCTGAGGGATGTCTACAGGGTATGGTCAAAAGGTCAAGGAGGTGGCTGTAACAGAGCTATGGAAACTGCTGTTCTTTATGCATATCATGTCTGCAGCACACATAAGCAGGTGGAGTTTTAATTGCACCATTTGGGCTACCATCTTGATTTTTTTTTCTTTTTGGCTATATTGTGTAGACAGCCCTGTCATCTTCCACACTTTGGTTGGTAGAGCAGATCTTATTCTTCACTTCAGTAGCAAAACCTTCAGCTAGAGCTGGGTGTCCATTACTATTCAGAACTATAAATTACAAACTGTTCATAGTTTGAATACTCAATAGAACTTATTGGACACATTCTTTAAAAAAAATCCTACTTAGGTTTTTTTTTTAGTATTTACAAGTTGATTCCTGAATTCTTAAAAGCCACAAAAACAGTGCTATACACATTGTCATATATGATTTGGGGAAAATTATATGATTTATAATACTAATATATAACACTATTGTAATATGTATATAACTAATTACTTAGGGCTGTACAAGGCTCAAAGACAGGCTTTGCTTCAGCCAAAGCTTTGATCAAAATGCAATTTGGAATTGTTCCAAAAATTGGCATCTGATATTTAGAGAAATAGCATAGGCATGATAGGTAGGTAGGTGCACCGTAAGATATAAAGAACTTCCTCTAAAGAGAGTCCCATCTTAACACATGACTGCAGGCATGGAGGCAGAATGCTATGTGTTCACAAACTCAGCCACTGCCTTGCACTGAATTTCTCCTTAGCCTAAGTGGAAGTGGAGAAATACCAAGTTGTACAGGGATGATCTGCTTAAACACATTAAAGATAGAGATATGCTCAATGTGCAGCCATTATAGCCCAAAAGCATCGACAACAATGCTTCCATTTTATAAGGCTTTTATTTTGGAATTGTTGCAATAGCTCACCTCTGTGCTTCCTAAGAGCAATCTCCTACCCTCTGCCAGCAAGATTGGTATATTCCAACAGTGGGTAATAGCATTGCCTGCATATGGAAAATACTGTATTCATTGTTCCCAGTATAAGAATAGTTTATTTGAACCAT